AGGGAACTGGGTTTGTTTAGTCTGGAGAAGAGGAGGCTGAGGGGAGCCCTCATCGCTCTCTGTAACTGCCTGAAGGGGGGTTGTGGCGACAAGGGTGTTGGTCTCTTCTCCCAAGTAACCAGTGATAGGACGAGAGAAAATGGCCTCAAGTTGCGCCAGGGGAGGTTTAGATTGGATATTAGGAGAAATTTCTGTACTGAGAGGGTGGTCAAGCATTGGAACAGGCTGCCCAGGGAGGTGGTGGAGTCCCCATCACTGGAAGTGTTCAAAAAACGTGTGGATGTGGCGCTTCAGTACATGGTTTAGTGGGCGTGGTGGTGTTGGGTTGATGGTTGGACTTGATCTTAAAGGTCTTTTCCAAATTGAAGATTCTGTGTTTCTGTGAAAAAGGACAATTGCCCATAGTCTAAACCTTTGACTAGTAAAAGGAAATCTGAATTGCTGAAGGCTGGCAGTCAGATATGTTTTTCTCTGAGTACCAGTCTGAATACAGTAAGAGACTGCTTCACTTTGACAATCTGGAAAACAGCAAAACTTCGTCTGTCAAGCTCCTCTTCCCTTTCCTAGAGGCAGTGATTTTGTCTGCTTTGAGGTCAAACACCTGAAACGGGTGTTTCTCACTCTGTGATGAAGAGGTGAGGCATAACTATTGCCTGAGTTTTAGGATGGCAAACAGTGGAACTAGATATCTTCAGACTGCGTTGTGATGCTGATGTTTGATGTTTCTTGTTTCCTAGTGGTCTGCCGTACATGCTAAGCAAGAGGAGGAGCCCTTCGTCATTCCAGTTGTGTGTGGACCTGAGAGGAGGAGCCATTGTTTGACCTGAGCTTCTGTGGAGGATAGATCAAAGTAAGTGTAGTGCCGTGCTGCCCCTTCTTACTCATGCTGTCTTTATGAAGTGTCGGTGAGTCAGCTCCTTGGGGATGCTCTTTGACACTTGTGATCCAGCAGTGTTGTATAGCTGCATGTTTTCAGCAATGGTCATGTACTTACTTTGTGTGACTTTATCCAGTGAGTGACAGAATGGGAAGGAAAGAGCGCTTGAATTAAGTTGGCTTTTTGAGTAGCACTAAAACTGTGGCATGCTTCAGGGGGATTCTTTAATTTCCTGCATTACTGAAGGTCTCTTCTCTTGTGTGGTGTAACCACAGGTTAATATTGTAAATGTGCTTGATGGGAGCCAGCTCTGCTTTTATGCTTACCCTGTGGATGGGAACAGCCTAAGACTTGTTTGAAAGGGTGACCCCACATAAAGTTTAGAGAAATGTTTAAGTATGGGTGCTTCATTTGGTCTCTCAGTTGCCTTTCTGTCTTGTTTTTTTACTACCTACAACCATTCAGGTCACTAGTGTTCTACTTTTTCCTCCTACCTACGGCATTCAAACCTAAATACTGTTATAAAATAGGTTTATTGTGTCTATTACCACCAAGTGCTGACCTCAATTCTTTCGTATTTTATTTGGTATAATAGATATTGTATTTACCTGAGAACTCAGATAAGAGGCAGAGTCTAGCAGATACAGATATATCCAAATTATCCTCAGGTTATTGCTGCATGCATTGTGCTGCTAAGCAGAGTTGTGCACTGGCAGGTGTAAAAGCTTCCAGGAGGTTATAGTTGCCTTGTGGGTAGAGAGCTTTTAAAACACATTCTGTAACCTTCACTTGTGAAGTTTTAGGACTGTATTTGTAACTTAGAAACCAACTTGAGTGGATTAGGAGATAATGGACCTGAGCACATGTGCGGGTGAGTAGGGTTCTAATGGTTTTTGGATGTGATCTCAGTTGGCGATGACCAAAGTGACTTCTTTCGCTGTGCAGGTGAGATTGAATGATGTGTGCTGATCTACTGGAATTCTAAGCAGAAAAGAGTACAGTGTACGGATTGTCAGTAAGCATTTCCTGCTTGTGCACTCATGTTTCAATGTGGTTTTGCTTTGTTTATTTTTGTGGGAAAAGTGTTTTCTTTCTGATATAACAGGAATACACATGAGGTCAAATCTGTCATGATCAGAGAAGGACTCCTGCAGGGTATGCACAGAAAGCTGTCATAATAAGAGCCTTTGGGTTCTTTAAGTATCATCATTGCACAAATTACTTCTGTACAAAGCTCCCAAATCTAAATTTTTGTACTTGTGTATCAGTATGTGAATTTGAACAATACCATGCAACTTCCTTCCACAAGTGAAAAACCAAACTCCACCTGAAAGCTTTCATGTCTTAAAAAGCTTGTTGGCTTTGCTAGGAGTAACTGTAAGACAGAAATAAAGATGGACTTTTTGGAGAAAGTATTCCCTTTCCTTTCCTCTATGGATGATGTAGTCATGTAAATTAAATAAAGTATCCTTTGAATTAGGCAAAGTAACTTTAGAATGTGTCTGGATTTCCTATCTTGCTAGGATTGGGATCAGGATAGTTGAGGTTGTGTCGTGGTTTAGCCCCAGCCCACAACTAAGGACCACACAGCAGCTTGCTTGCCTCCTCGCCCCAGGTCAGATGAGGGAGAGAATTGGAAAACGCATGGGTTGTGGTAAAGACAGTTTAATAGGTAAAACAAAAGTTGTGCACACAAGCAAAGGAAAACAAGGAATTCATTCACCATTTCCCATGGGCAGGCAGATGTTCAGCCATCTCCAGGAAAGCAGGGCTGCATCACGCGTAATGGTGACTTTGGAAAATGAAACGCCATAACTCTGAACGTCCTCCCCCTTCCTTCTTCTTCCTCCAGCTCTATATACTGAGCATGACGTCACATGGTATGGAATATCTCTTTGGCCAGCCTGGGTCAGCTGTCCTGGCTGTGCCCCCTCCCAGCTTCTTGTGCATCCCCAGCCTCCTCGCTGGCGGGGCAGTGTGAGGTAGAAAAGGCCTTGACTTTGTGTAAGCACTGCTTAGCAGTAACTAAAACATCCCTGAATTATCCACACTGTTTTCAGCACAAATCCAAACCATAGCCCCATCCTAGCTGCTATGAAGAAAATTAACTCTATACCAGCCAACACTAGCATAGGTCGAAAGGAACCTCTGGCAATTGTCTCATCCACCCGCCTTGATTGAAAGCAGGGTGACCTAGAGCAGTTTGCTCAGGACTATGTCCAGCTGGCTTTTAAATGTTTTCAAGGATGGAGGCTCCACAGCCTTTCTGGGCAACAGAGTAAAAAAAAATGTTTTTTTCTTATGTTTAAGAGGAATTTCCTGATTTTTACTTTTTGTTTCTGTTGACTCTCATCATGTTTCTGGACACTACTCAGAAGAGCCTGGCTCTGTCTTATTTACTCCCCCTCTATCACAGATTGATGTACATTGATAAGATCCCCCTGAGCCTCCTTTTCTCGAGGATGAACAGTCCCAGCTGTCTCAGCCTGGCCTCATGTGACAGATCCTCCAATCCTTTAATTGTTTTAGTGGCTGTTCACTGCACTCACTCCAGTATGTCCATTTTTCCTAGTACTGGAGAGCCCAGAGCTGTACACAGCGCTCCAGATGTGGCCTCATGAGCGCTGACTAGAACAGAAGAATAACCTCCCTCACCCTGCTGGCGATGTTCTTCAGGAGTCCAGAATGCTTTTTGTCCCAGAAGCGTGTTGGCTTGTGGTCAACTTGTTGCATCCCCAGGTCCTTTTTTGCAAACCTGCTTTCCAGGCAGTGAGTCCCCAGCCCATCTCCTTCCCAGGTGCAGGACTTGGCATTTACCTTTGTTGGCCTTCATAAGGATCCTCTCTGTCCACTTCTCCAGCCTGTTGAGGTACCTCTGAATGGCAGTGCAACCATCTGGTATATCAACCATTCCTCCCGATTTTGCATCATCTGCAAACTTGCTGGAAGTGCACTTTGTCCCACCAGCCAGCTCTTATAGTGTGCTTGTTTATAAAGCAATACTGCTGAGTACATGAGAAGGGAAATTGGGGCTTTAGTCCTAGATCCACCAAAAAGGCCATTAAAGGTTGTAAATAATTATTGCTTAACTGGTAGCAGCACAGAGATGTCATAGCTAGTGTTTAGCTGGGCAAACACTGTTTGCAAGTATACCTTCCTCAGGTCTAAGAGCATTGTAGTTGCATTTTCATGGCATTGTAACTCAGTTCATAAGTCCTAATGGGACAATGTGACATCCTAGTCTGTATGAAGGCTGCAGATTTGTATACTACCTTTACTATTCTTTTTTTTTTATGCTACCTTCAGACCTGAGCTTGTGCAGACTGTGTCTGGGTGCTTCTGTATCATAGCCATAGCACTTCTCATCATAGGGTTAAATTCTGAACACCAGTTCAGGTGACTCTACAGCCCAGGTGTAGATAGGCTCCAAGTTACTTCTGTCAAATATTGCTGAATGTTCCTTCCATGTTCTTTCAGGTGTGTATATAAGATGTTACTTAGTAAAACAAGTTGCAAAGTACCCAGAATTAGTACTAGTTTGTGGAACAATCAAAACTTGGATTCAAACACTCATTTGGCTCCTGATCCATGCAGGTACCTTGGTTTTGAACCCAGGATGGAGAGGAGCCGTGAAGACTGAGAGCACATTAAGTGCAACTTTCAGCAGCCAAAGTAGTTGAAGTTAAATTAGTAGTTAAGATTAAACTAGATGCACCCTTAAGGAGCTTTTCCTCCCTTAAGCAGCTTTTCGTTTTATGGATTTGAGCACTGATTGTTGTAGCTGTTAAGTCTGCTCAGTTGTATCTTCCATACACAGAGCTCTATTACTAAGCTTAGCAATTTCAAAAAGACCAAAGGTATAATTTGAAAGATGGTTTGGGGCATACATTCATGACCATTCTGATAAAACCTTTTGTTTTTTTGTAGATACAGACTATTTGCTTTCCAGAATGTTTGTTGGATATGAAGACACCGAGGATACTGAAGTGTATGAAGATGAACTTTATCATGAGGAGTCATCCAGTGAGCAGAGTGTTGATAGCGAGGTGGAATTTCATCTTTACAGCCAGCTCCACTATTCCCAGAATCTTGGAGAAAGCAACACGCTGGAAATAGATAAGGAAGCTGATGTTGCAGGAGTCACGGGTCATAGTTCAGTTCTAACTGAGAAACAGTATGAAAACAAGAAAATCACTGAATTCATTTATCATGGTACTCAGCTTTCAGATGATCCCGAGATCATTGTCTTGTCTGATACACCAGATGAAGACAGTGTTTACAAAAGCAAAGCAAAGAAGTCAACAAGCTCTTCAGCTCAAGGTAGAATACATATTCATCCAGGATCTTCCACACCAAAAGGTGCCGAAGCTGCTGGGTGTAATACCCGGTATCCTGCTGGATCAGGCCCAGACATTTCAAGGCAAAGGAGAAGCACTAGTGGGAAGCTTAACCCAGTTAGTTCTGTTGGAGCTAATGCCATCCCAGATGTGTTGGTAATAGATGATAGCTCAGAGGAGGAGAGCTTGGTATCTGAAAGTGATAATGTCGAGAGTTGGATGCTTTTGGGAGCCGGTGCAGATGACAGAGATGAAGATATAATGTTGAACCTTGAAGGCTGTGAAACTCCTATCAGTGAAGGTTAGTACTTTTTTTAATTGCTTGTTTATTCTTCTGTATGTGGCAGGATTTGTCTGCAACAATACTGATGTCAATGTTTGAAAAGAAAGATAAACAGAATTCAAATTGGAGTGTGTAATGATAATGAAAAACTATGATGAAGGTAATAGCCATTTATTTATACCATTTCAATACCCTTACTTCAGTAGTGTCATATAAGGAAAGAGCATTTTTGCTAGTAAAAATTTGGACATAATATCAGAGTGATTCATGTTGTGAACTTGCCAACTTTCCTATATATTTTGTAATTCTAAGGGTATATAATAACTTGCAGAGGGGCAGGGGAAAGGGGGGTGAAATAAAGAGAGGAATCATAGAATCTTTGAGTGGGAAGGGACCTTTTAAGGTCATCTAGTCCAACCCCCCTGCACAGTGAGCAGGGACATCTTCAACTAGATCTGGTTGCTCAGAGCCCCGTCCAACATCTGGAATGATGCCCCCAGGGATGGGGCATCCACCACTTCTGTGGGCAACCTGGGGCAGGATTTCACCCCTTTCACTGTCAAAAATTTCTTCCTTAGATCTAGTCGAAATCTGCCCTTTTTTACTTTAAAACCGTTACCCCTTGTCTTATTGCGACAGGCCCTGCTAAAAAGTCTGTCCCAATCTTTCTTATAAGCTCCTTTTCAGTGCTGGACAGCTGCAGGAAGGTCTCCCCGGAGCCTTCTCTGCTCCAGGCTGAGCCCCCTCAGCTCTCCCAGCCTGTCCTCCCAGCAGAGCTGTTCCAGCCCTGGAGCATTGCTGGGGCCTCCTCTGGCCCCGCTCCAGCAGGTCCGTGTCTCTCCTGTGCCGAGGGCTCCAGAGCTGGACGCAGC